AAAAAAAGAAATTATTTACAATTCTGGAAATGCTATTTCCCGACAGACCATCAGAAGCACAGGAGATTGTATCAGACAGAATGCGTTATGGTTACAGAAGAGGCTCGGGGTACGAGCAAACCTGAAATAATAAACTGGGTTGTTAGTTATTACAGCAGTCCTATTTAAAAAGTGTCAGTCTACATTAAAAATGTATTCAATTAGATATGCTCATATAAGTAAAAATTTTAGTTTGATCATTCATTTTCTTTTCAACTTACTCCCTTTATTAATCAGGGGTCGCCGCAGTGGAATGAACCGCCAACTTATCCAGCATATGTTTTTTTACACAGCGGATGCCCTTCCAGCCACAACCCAGCACTGGGAAACATCCACACACACTCTTACATTCACACACATACACTACAGCCAATTTAGTTTATTCAATTCACCTATATCACGTCTTTGGACTTGTTGGGGAAACCTTGTTTGGTCACCCAGAAAAAAACCCACACCAACATGGGGAGAACATGCAAACTGCACACAAAAATGCCAACCGACCCAACCGGGGCTCAAACCAGTGACCTTCTTGCTGTGAGATGGGATAGTTATTTTACATCTGTCACATGCATAAAGCTTTTTACTCATAAATGCAAAAATAATAAATAAAATCTATCATTTTTTTGTTCTATAGTGAGCCAACTCTTATTCTGTTGATTCACATTTTTTTGAGGGAGTTGAGCAGTTTAATTTACAGAATTTCTACAAATAATGTTGTATACTGTAAACTCACAGATTTTTTGGTCACATTCATAATGCATGTTTATTTTCCTCATTTAAAAGATTAAAAATGTTTACAGATTGATATTTTTCTGATATTTTCCCATAACTCTGTGGTTAGTTGTTTTGGACTATTTATACAGATGTTTCAATATAATGTTAATTTGTTTCTATGTGAATTTATGTTTTGAAATTACTGCACATCATATCCATAACGCTGGAATTGCTCTATTACATTTATAATAACAAGCGTGTTATACATTTAAAAAAATATATTTCTAAAGTTTTATTAATGAATTCATTTTTTTTACCATTTTAGACTATCTGCTTTAAATTTTAAATGTAATGGTTTAACACATTTTTATCTCTTGTTTTTCTCTGTTTACTTTTATTTACATTTACTCAATGTAACTTTAATTATTTTTGTAAATAAGGTTAAAGGTTGATTCAGCATTTTGTCACCTGAGAATAAGAAGGTTCTATCTGACATTTGTTAAAACTGAGTTATTGACATTCTTATTAAATGAACGTATTTACATTAAATGAACTTATTTACATTATGGGATGTTTTTTGCAAGTTGTTTACATTAAGACTTTTCATTTAAAAAACAAATGTTATACACATTGTTTGCTACAGTATATGGAATGCAAAAACTTTTAATCTCATTATCTCAAAATCATTCAAAATGCAGATAGAACATTATAGTCAAAGTGACAATTTGTTTTTACTGCGGTGACTGTCTCATGACTGTAAACGGCATATCTGCGTGAACAGAGGTGCACAGTTGTACAAATCTACATTTGTTGACAGACAGTTTGGGACAGACAATTATCGGCCTGACAAAGGACATGAAAATGGTCTATAACTTAAAATTGTGCATAGGCCTATATCCAATAATACACTTATTCAAGTATTTCAATTAACAAGCTTAGTTTTAGCTTTACTTAAATATACAAACGAGCAATTGCAGCGTTGTGGATGTGTCATTTGCAGTAAAACCTCAAAACAAAAATTCACAGAGAAAGTATACGTTAACATTATATTGAAACATCTGTTTATATTTTCTAAAATAACTAACCACAGAGTTATGAGAACAGAAAAATATCAATCTGTAAAAACTGATCAGATTTTAAATGAGGAAAATAATCATGGGCCTGCAACAAAGTCTGCAAGTTTACAGTCTACAACATAGTTTGTAGAAATTATGTGAATTAAACTGCACAAACCAAAACAAACAATGCAAATCAAAAGGATGAGAGTCGGCTCTCTATAGAACAAAAAGGATAGTTTTTATTTAACATTTCTGCATTTATGAGTA